GGCTTTGGCTCATCATTCAGCTGCCTCATGAGCCAGTTCCCTGGCCTGTGAAGGCAAGGAGTCTCAGCACCAGCCCACAACACTTCAAACAAGCATGTAACAGAACCCTTAAGAGGAAGAGCCTAGTGGGAGGTTTTAGGTCATCTGGATATGCACATAAAGGGGGTTATGGAAAAGTGGTCTCTTCTCCCTATTTCATTCCCAGACATGAAATGAGCATGTTTCTTCCACTGCACATTCCCACCATGATATTCTGTCTCACACAGGCTCAAAAGCAACAAATCCAACCAACCATGGTCTGAAATTTCTGAAACTGTGTGCCAAAAGGAATATTTCTTCTTCATAAGTTGATTATCTCAGGTACTTTGTTACAATAGCAACAGAAAGCTGACTAATGCATATACTTGCTCTCTGACGTAGTTATTCTACTTGTAGGAATTCACTGAAGAATGAAAAATATGTGCAAAGTACATGTAAAAATGTTTTTAGCATGTAGCTTACATACTTCTCAATAAGAAAATATATTAACAAACTGGTATCTTCAAATAGAAAAGTTTTTAAAGAATGAATTCTGATATAAACAACAAAAATAGATATATGTCTCAAAACAACTCTTAGTTGAATAAAAGGAAGCCAACACAAGACTCTAATTCCATATGTAATGTTTTAAAATAAGCAAACTTAACTTGGGGTGAAAAAGAAGAGGGTCTGCCTCTGGAAAGAAACATGAGGATGAGTATTAGATAGGGCATGAGAAACACTTGGAGTGATGTCAGGTCTAAAAATATACACATTTATCAAAACTCTGTTGATGGGAATTAAGATATTTTTCCCTTTATTGAACTTTAATTTCATGACAAAAGAAAAATTATAAGGAGATATTTGACTAGCTAAGATGAGAGCATCCTAATATCTATATTTACTCTTATAACTGAGATGAATTGATGAGAAGATAGTTGATGTATTAGTAAGGGATTCCAAAACAACTCATGTGTCTATCTATCTATCTATCATCTATCTATCTATCTATCTATCTATCTATCTATCTATCTATCTATCTATTTATTGAGAGATTAAGGAGCTGATTTACATCATTGTAGAGGCTGGTAAGCCTACAGTCCCTAGCAAGGCCTTCAGATTGGAAATTCAGTAAGAGCAGATGCTGCCATCTAGAGTCTGAATTCCATAGGCCACAATAGTCTACAAATGTAGACACAGTTTCTATGTTGCAGTCCTATGAGAATTCCTTCTTTTGGGGCCACATCAGTCTTCTTTCAGTTAACATTTTCAACTGATTGGAGGAAGTCAACCTTCATTACAAAGAAGATGTAATGTTTTACTCAAAGTTGATTGATTTTAATGTTAATTATGTCTAAAAATTCTTTCACAGCAAAAGGTAGACTGGCATTTGACCATAGCCTAGCCAAGTTGTCACATTAAAATTAACTATTACAGTCTAGTTGTGTCTACTAGACACTCAGACACATCTTAAACCATACTGAACTTTTGAATAAGAAAATAACAGATTGTATTCACTATTTTCCTAGACATTCTGTGAGTTGGATATTATGATGTAAAATCAACATGCCTTATGTTATATGGTAAAGTGATAAAATAATGAAGAAATGAAAGATAATTTTCTTAACATATAAATACACAATACATAAAATGTTTATGTCAGATAGATGTACATATATGTATATACATATACTTAAATACATTCATGCAAACATATTAACAAAATAAAGAAATGTAACAATCATAGCCCTCATTTCTGTGACTGGCCACACACCTATAGATGGCATTTGTAACTATCCTTTGTTATTATGTGTTCCATAGCCCCTTTGCCCTCAGCAAGAGCCTCAGTTGATTGTAGTTTTCTATAATCCAACATTCCTTCCTGAAAGGTCTGGGCCATTAGTAGCTCTGCCTGAACTGGGTTGTTGCAGTTTTCCATTGGCATTAATTGCAGGGCATGGTAATACTAAGAGTTGTCCAAGAGGATCTCCTATATTCCAAGCATATTCTTCCTTACCTCCCTTGTGGAGTAATAGTACAATTTTTTTCTATCAATCATGATTACCTCATCACTGTAGTAATTTATTTCTTTGCCTGTGGATTCTGACAAACATAGAACCCAATATGACCAGACAGCAGTCTTTAATTCCAATTTTAATGGAATTGTCATTGTGTCTCCTGGTAGTTCCTCTCATTGGAGGAACCTCTAGATATGTAAAGCTTAAGGTCATGGAGACAGTATGCAAATATTTTGCCTGTGATCCCTAAGAGCAGCAGCTCAGCAAGTGGTACCACTCCCAAACCCACCTTTTGGTTCTTGGACTTGTGAATCCTCACTTTGTAAGAAATCTTATTCATTGGGCACAGATTCAGAGAATGCACAGTCTCTTGAACATTTGTCTCAATCCTGCAAAGATTTACAACCTAACTGGTACTGAAAGTCAGACTTCCAAGGGCTGTCTCCTTTTTTAATAAGCTTGCTGCTTCAGGACAGGGAGAGCATAGTGAATCTCCACAAGCCTGGGCCCATTGCCACATTTCTTTACTGTGAAGTGAGTTCTGGACAAGAAGCAAAGAACACCATGTAAAATAATATGATAATAGATGAAACATTCTATATATCCATACATGGTAGTTTTAAGAGATTCAAACCTACATTCAAAGCATGGATGTGACAAAACAAAGCAAATCCATAATTAAAGGACCTCTCCCAGTACTAACATTTTTTCCATAATGGAGTGGACCAATATATTCAGTCTGACACCTGGTGGCTGGCTGATCACCCTAGGAAGAGTGCCACAGTAGGGGCTATGTTCAACTCTGTTCCTGGAAGGTTTATCTTCAGTGGTGGCCTTACCCAGGTCATCCTGAGAGTGCTGAGGTCCACACATAACCTTCATCCCTGTTTCCATGACTAATCCATTCAGGAGCCCATTGTATGATGACAGGGTGATTGGTGTAAGAAGTTGAATGGTTTCCATAGAATGTGTCTCTATTGACTACAACAAAGCTCCTTTGAGGAGTATTCACACAACACAGTATCTTCTATTTTCACCCATCAATAGAGGTCTATCCACATACATCTTCCCCAGACCTCCTTGTCACCAGTTTTCCCATCATGTTCCTTCCAAGTCCCTGACTATCCACTAAGCCACTGACGATAGCCCATGAATTGGTATGTAACTACCCACAATACTATTTTAAATATACTTATTATATACAAAATAACTACAAAGCCATATAGGGAATAAATAACTTTGTCATTTCTCCAAAGTTGGCTGAATTCTACAATTAAAAGTTATTTCTGACAGGATGACTTTTCTAGGTATTCAAGATTTCTACTCAAAAAACACATGAAAAAATGCTCACCATCTCTGGCCATAAAGGAAATGCAAATCAAAACTACACTAAGATTCCACCTCACCTCCGTTAGAACAGCCATCATCCAAAACACCACCACCAACAAGTATTGGTGAGGATGTGGGAAAAAAGGAACCCTAATCCACTGCTGGTGGGAATGCAAGCTGGTGCAACCACTCTGGAAAAAAATTTGGAGACTTTTAAAAATCTAAACATAGACCTGCCATATGATCCAGCAATCCCACTCCTGGGGATATACCCAAATGAATGCAACACAGGTTACTCCAGAGGCACCTGCACACCCATGTTTATTGCAGTACTATTCAGAATAGCTAAGTTATGGAAACAACCAAGATCCCCCACTACTGATGAATGGATCAAGAAAATGTGGTACTTGTACAAAATGGAATTTTACTCAGTCATGAAGAAGAATGAAATCTTATCATTTGCAGGTAAATGGATGGAACTGGAGAACATCATGCTAAGTAAGGTCAGCCAAGCTCAGAAGACCAAAAATCTTATGTTCTCCTTCATATGCGGACTTCAGATCTAGGGCAAATGCAGCAATGTGTTGGACTTGGTTCACAAGAAAAGGGGAGAGCACGTATGGGAGATACAGGAATAGGTAGAAAACCCAAAACATGAAAGCGTTTGATGTCCCCACTCCAGAGGAACTAATACAGAAACCTTAAAACTACAGGTTATCATGAGCAGGGGATCAGGAACCAGTGTAAAGATCAGTTAGAGTTGAATCAACATGGGTGGTAACACATGGGTACATGAAAGCAATAGTAGGAATCTTTCTCTATAGCTATCCTTAACTCAGCTAGCAAAAATGATTTGTCTTTCTTGTTATGCATATGTCTTTTCTTGAACAAAATCAGTGATAAGGGCAGAATGGGACCTGCCTGAAACTGAGGGTGGGGAGGGAGGGAAGGGTGGGGTAGGGGAGCAGGGTGGAGAAATGACCAAACAGTGCATGCACATGTGAATAAATGAACAAAAAAAAACAAATTAAAAAAAATATTTCTATTAACTTCTTCCACACATTGGCATCAACACAAAGGATCACAAAGAAAAAACATATTATGAGTGCTTTGACTTTTAAAACCTCTGGGTATGTATTTCTTTGAAAGTTGGTATATCATTTAAAAATTTTTTGGAAATGAAAGTATAAGTAGATGAATTATTTACCAATTATTTGGAATTATAAAATTAGACACTAATCATGCTCCTTCAGAAGACGTATTTAGCCACAAGTTAAATTAATTGGTAAAACTATAAGCACAAATTTCTTTCTTCCTTTTTATTTTCTTTTCAATCTTACTGACAATTCAATTTACTATTGAATAGAAAAGATAATGAAAGGCAACTGTGTCTGAGTTGTTTCATCTTTTTTTGCTATGATATTTTCAGTTCTCAGAAATGTCAATATAAATTTTTAATTTTTAAACTATTACCACAAGTTTCTAAGCAAAATTCTCCTATACACGGAAAAGGCAAAATTAAAATAAATATCAGGTTAGCAAAGAGTCTGCAATCTTGTCCTATATTTTTAAAGTTTATTAATTTGATTACACATTAAAATGAAAATTATCTTAAGAAGTGGAAATGTTGGCATTTGGAATATGCTTAGAATAGAAGATTCTAGAACATATATCTATGTGTTCTTATTGTCTAGGAAGGTTTCTTTTACCACCTCTGTGTCCTCAAACCTTACAAGCACAAGCATGTAGAATACTATATGTGACTATGTGAATTAATATGACTTCACCAGACCATGGAGAGTTGTCCAGGAAAGTAAAATTTTATCATTTCTAAACTTGGTCAGGAATGAATGCATCATGAACTACCGAAAGTGAAGAAGTTCCCCAGAGTTTGCTGTTCTTTCACCTTCATTGACAAAAGATAATGAGGAAGCTGAGGGTTTTATTTGGGAAGCACAAGTTCATAGTCATGCTCAGGTGTACAGGAAGAAAGACCAATAACAGAAGTCCTAAGCAGGGAATATTCTGTCTCTAACTCTGCTTTGAAGGGTCTCCCTCTCCTTGTGGTGGAATCAATGTTCTCATAACCATCATTATTGGAGTTCAGGGAGGTCCTTCGAAGGGGCAGGAGATTAATGACAGTATAGCACACTTCTTCATAACCACTTCCATTCTCATTGTCCTGAGAAACACAAAGAGAAAAGTCATGGACTCAGGAACACATTTTAACTCAGTGTCCACCCCTTCTTTGCATACTTGATGCTGCTTCTACACCTTGGAAATCCAAAGTTCTTGTTCCAAATCCTAGTATCTTAGTGACCTTATTTTAGTAGCACATACTATGCCCCAAACTAATATGTACTTCACTTTCATCTCTCCTTGAATAAAGAAAGAGGAAATGACTATGCTATTATTCCTCTGAGAATCTACAGAAAAGTAGTCATACACTTTAGGTTACACATATTGGGACACAGTATATGCAACAATCAGACCTTAAAAAGCAATTAATCAAGTCATATAATAAATCTTTCTAAGAGAAAATATCAATAATAAAATTTGGAGTGTAAATGCATTTTCAATTACATAAATAGTGAAGGAAATAAAAAATTAAAGCATTAATATATAATTATTAAGTCAATAACAAGCTTATGATATAATTTTAAAAGGAAAAATTTTCCCCTAGGTTATTGATTTCTATCATGTTTGTAAACATAAATATACCTCCCATATACAAGGACTGGCAGAGAATGTGAAAAGCTAAAAGGAATTAACATTCTATGGGGTAAGATTATAGGGTAAATTTATTTGACTTTGTCTGGTTTTGTCAGAATAGTTTTGAAAATTAAAATATTTCAGCAGAATTGGAGGCATTAACATAATAACTTTTTAATGGTCTGAATCAGTTAAGATACTTTTGATTTTTATTTCATTCCTTCTGCACTAAAATTACCAAGTAAATTATTTAAAACATGTAAGTCCACTTGGAAATTACAAGTAAAGGAAGACAGATGCTACTCAAATAAAATCATCTGCATTGAAACTTAATTTAGTCTTTAGTCTTGACTTTGTTTTGTTGACTTTTAGTTACCTGATTAGAAGTGTATGGAAATTCTTTACCTAAGGATTAAAAGGTAAAAAGAAAGTAATGTGAGACTTTTTGAACCATCACAGGCCCAAGGGAGAGATGAAAAGGAGAGAACATAGCAATTAAACTACAAAAAGACCCATTATGTAAACATCTAACATCTTTCCCTTTTATGTCAAGGTTCTTAAGATTCAATACTATTTTTTCAATATAAATAATATGCATCAAGTCTTTGATGTGGAATATGATGATAAAATATTGTCCACAAATATACTATGACAATGAAGTATGGCAAATATAAAGAATGATTGGTACTATAAATTTAAAAGATAAATTACATAAACATATCACAGGAAAATCATAAAGTATTTAAAGATGAACAACCATTATTGTGATATGTATAGAAATAAAAGAAGTAACTATTTCAAATTATACCCAAATACATAGATTCAGGTTGAGACCATCTGTGAATGCTAAAGCAATTTGCTACACATGGAAATCTAAAAAAAAATACTAAATTTTTTAATGAACAAGTTAGGATTAAGGAGATCCAGAATGCTAAATATGGCAACAATCCCTATTTAAAAGAAAAGAAGTGGCTGATTCTGAAATCTACAACTTAATATATTTGATAGTGATTCTTAGACAATATTAAACAAATTAAGCAGATTATGTGGAATAAAAGTAAGAATTTCTAATGGCAATTTTTCTCAAATTAAAAAGTTATATTCAATGCACTAGTATGAATGCTGCATAAATTCATATATTTTAACAAACAATTTTTATACTGTTCTGTAATCATAAACTGAGGAAGTTATGTAGCCTAAATATAATTCAATTATAGCATTAGAGACAATGATTTGGAAAGCCATATGTTAGTGTAAAGGGTATGAAGGAATCCAAGAGTATAGAGTGAGGTATTTGCACTATTGGTGCTAAAGTTGTGAAACTATTTAGAAATAATGGTATTAAGTTTTAGATTAGAATGATGGAATATGTGTGACTATGTTAAAGTCAGTTGAATTAACACTGTGAGTAGAACATAGGAATTCATCAAGAAAGAATGTGAGCTTTAGGTCAAAATGAGAATAACTGAGGGAATTTCTGACTGAAATTATCCTAAATCCCATCCTCCCACAACTCTCTTTTCTCAGGTGAGTCACTTCCTCTGAGTCTGAATATTGAATGAGTCTTCCTTTCTTGCTTGAAAACTCCAAGGAAGTCACCTGGCAAAGGAAAGCTAACTATTCTGTGTAAGCAAGAATACATCACCATATTCATTTCAATAACAAAATCAAATCAAAGTATGCTTTTGAAATATTAAACCACAAGGTAATATTTACTGTGTTAAAATCACCATCTGCCAAAGTCAAGCAAACAAAAATATGAATTGAGGACCATGTTATTATTAAGTGGCTTTGTGGGTTCTACTATGAAGAGAAGCATATACATTTTATGGGACTGAATATCTTCATACCACTGCAGTTATCAGAGATTCTGGACTCAATGTCACAGCTCACAGAGTTAAAAGCAGTTCTAAGTTGGTGGAGTGGCTGAGATCCATAATTCCAACACTTGGGAAGTTGAGACAGAAGGACTGTGAGTTCAAAAGTATCTTGGACTACATAGTGAGAATGTGTTTTAACTTCTACTTGTTGACCAAAGTGGCTACCTAGAAACAGATCTCGGGAATTACTCATATTAATGCCATTGGTGTTTCAGGTTGTATTAACCCCCATCGCTCCTACAAAAAATTACCACAGACTTTGTAGCTTAGAAGAATGAAAACTTAACATTCTGAATTATGAGTGATTCCTGAAGGAGTTAGGATGTGCCATCTCAAAATAAGCCAAATTGGTATATCATGTCAGTTGAAAACACCTGAGGAACAATAAATGTAGAAAGGACCTTGACCTGTTTTCTCCTATACACAGCAAGCCATAAAGATTGCTTTGGAAGGGATGTCTTCCTCATACCAAGGTGGGAAGATAGACTTAATCATTGAGACTAATTATTGGGGCTATAATGAATCTGCATAAACAAACACATTGGATCAACCCTTACCTTCCCACTAGATTTTACACACACACACACACACACACACACACACACCTGTGTCTCTTAGTGACATGCCTAGAGTTGAGATCCACTTATTCTGTCATTCCTTAACAGATGTGTTACTCTGTCTAAAAAGTATAAAACCTATCTTATTTCAGTCCTTTCTTATAAACTAGATTGTTAATTTGGTTCCTAGATCTCTATCTGGAGTCCATATAAGAACTAAAGGCAGCTCTAATGAAGGGATCTTTCTCCACTGCAGTTCCACTGGGCTAAAATCAAGGTATGGGGGCTGGTGGAATGTCTTAAGCAGTAAGAGTGCCTGCCTAGCAAGCATGAGGCCCAGAGTTCAAACCCCATTGCCGCAAAAAAAAAAAACCAAAGACATAAAAGCAAGGTATGGGCAAGTCTTCCTTCCTTTCTGGAGGTTCTAGGGAATACTCCATCTCTTTCACTTTTCCAGAAACTACAGATGCATTTCTTTCTTTGAACACAGCCTTCTCTACCTTCAATGTCAGCAATGTAAGACCACCAGTGGTTGAGTGAATTTTTCACACTCTGCCTCACTCTGGAGCATATAAGCTCAAAATTTGTGGTTCAAAGACTGAGCAAAGGGCCAAGGAACTACCTGACAAAACCTGCTTTTTACCTCAGTCCATTAAACAGGGCAGAAACAGTTCTTCCCATATCCTGTATATTTCACTTGAACTCCAACAGATAGGTAAAAGCAATATTCTGACCAGTTGAAAACAAAAACACATTGATTTCTAACTTACTTGCTCATCATAGTCCAAATATTTGGTGAGCCTCTTAGAATTTGGGTTAACACTCTTGGGGATATACCCAAAAGACTGTACCACAGGTTACTTCAGAGTCACCTGCACACCCATGTTTATGGCGGCACTATTTACAATAGCCAAGTTATGGAAACAACCAAGATGCCCCAGCACTGACGAATGGATTAAGAAAATGTGGTATCTATACACAATGGAATTTTATGCAGCCATGAAGAAGAACGAAATGTTATCATTTGCTGGTAAATGGATGGAATTGGAGAACATCATTCTGAGTGAGGTTAGCCTGGCCCAAATGACCAAAAATCGTATGTCCTCCCTCATATGTGGACATTAGATCAAGGGCAAAAACAACAATGGGATTGGACTTTGAGCACATGATAAAAGCTTTAGCACACAAGGGAGGGGTGAGGATAGGTAAGACACCTAAAAAATTAGCTAGCATTTGTTGCTCTTAACGCAGAGAAACTAAAGCAGATACCTTAAAAGCAACTGAGGCCAATAGGAAAAGGGGACCAGGAACTAGAGAAAAGGTTAGATCAAAAAGAATTAACCTAGAAGATAACACACATGCACAGGAAATCAATGTGAGTCAATGCCCTGTATAGCTATCCTTATCTCAACCAGCAAAAACCCTTGTTCCTTCCTATTATTGCTTATACTCTCTCTACAACAAAATTAGAAATAAGGGCAAAATAGTTTCTGCTGGGTATTGAGGGGGTGGGGAGGACAGGGAGGGGGTGGGATGGGTGGTAAGGGAGGGGGTGCGGGCAAGGGGGAGAAATGACCCAAGCCTTGTTATGCACATATGAATAATAAAAGAAAAAGAATTTGGGTTAAGTCATATGCCAGCAGGAGTAGGCCCAGAGTGAAGACTCTTCAGTAAAAGGATTTGAAAAGCACAAAATGTGGTTTCAGTAAGGGAAGGGAGCCAAGATGTTGTATAATATGTTTACACTGTTTTGACTCCATGAATGAGAAGAGTTGGGTAACACATGAGAGACTATATTCTGAAGCTAGAAAAAACAGAAGATCATTAGGAATCACAGAAGAGGTGGAAGAACAGCAGAAAAGCACAGAGAAACCAAGACAACCAAGAAAAGCAGCAAGTACTTCCAAATCCATCCCTGACTCTTAGGGAAATAAAGGGGAAGCTGAACATGCAGTTACAAGGAAAACCAAAAGCCTTAACAACAGATAGACAATTATATCTCCTGCAAGCCTTAAACCCAAATAAAGGGATTTCTGAGACTGAGACTACTCTGACATGGAAGTCTAGCCTTAAAATGAAAGAAATTCTGTTGCTCCCCTTATCTTGGAGGAAGGCACAAAGGCACCATCTTGAGAGATTGTCTATTATTTGAGACTGAGATACTCTGGGTGTTTGAAAACAAGCAACAATCACAACTTTTGCTATGACAACATGACACAGTATCTGGATGGGAGACAACCACAAGAGGTGATTGAGAAGAGGGAGAGGGTCTGACATGGTCCAGAAGAGAAGTTCAAACAGCAAAGAAGTCTGGCAGGTGTGGTGGCTAGAGGCCCCACCCCCCTAGCAAGGAGGTTGTCTCATCACCAGAGGCTCACAGCAGAAACAGAGCACTGGGGTTGTAGCCAGCCTGGTATTCAGCCTCCAGGGCCTGCCTCCTGGCTGAATGTATTGGCTGCTAGGTGGATCAGGCCCTTCAGTCCAGATGCTCCAAATCATAAGAAATCCATAGTTTCCTTCCCACCATGAATAGGTGAACTTTTTGGCAGAGTCTGAAAGCACTGAGAACCACCCCTAGGAACTGTGTCTTAGTGTGTATTTGCTGCCAGGTAAATCTGAAGGCCCAGAGCCCAGGCTTTTCCCAAATCAGATGATTTCCACAACCTCCTCTGTCCAACAGGGATGTGAACTGCTGGGCAAAGTCTGAAAGCATTGAGGCCAGCTGCCAAGAAATTCAACCCAGCATGTGTTTGGTGGATTTAAGGGACCTAGCCAAGGCCTGCTGAATCATGATTTCCTGAGCCTCCTTCCCCAAATAGGGAGGTAAACTAGTGGGCAGGGTCTAGAGAAAATTGATAGCTGCCACTGTGAACTGCATACCAGTGTACATTAGCTGCCAGGCCAGTCTGAGGGCCTCCATCCCAGACCCTCCAAATCACAGCCTACCACAGCCTCTTCCCCTGTTTTC